TAAGGTTAACCGTTACTTAGGTCGGTTCTTCGTTCTACGTAGTCGTTGTCTGTTCGTAGTAGTAGGTTTACGTTGTCAGTATTAGTCTTGTTCTGTGTATATATATATATATATATATATATATATACACACATATATTACATTCCAGGCCGTACTTAAGAGAAAAAAAATGACAGCACCAGGTGTGACTCTGCCATCTCACCTAACTAGTGCCTGCTGCCCCTGTTCGCAGTAACCCATTCACAGTCTGTCAGTGTTGGGATCTTATGCAGGTGTGATGATCCCTGACTGGTCCGAACACTGTCTAGCATTTTTCACTATGCATATTCCTCCCTCCTGTTTGCTTCCCCAGTCTTGAGCTGCTAGGGAGATTGATTTCTAGATCTTCCCTTCAGGTTTGTGTAATCCTGCTAGAATGAGACCAAGTGAATGCATCCTTCAATCAGAAGTAGGTCTGGGGTGTTTACCTGTAAGTGTAATACAGGCCACCCACCCCTAAGCTAAGAACCAGACCATTTCTGGTGGGTCTTGCATTCTCCTCGAGGTGCGGGTCTGGGATGATATTAATGTGAAAACCTAGCCCTCAGTGAGTAGCATATCTGAAGTTAACATTTTTCTTACCTGAAAATGTATTTCAGATACAACCACCCACCCAAGAATTGTTTCGGCAGTGGTGTAAGGTAATAGCTGTCAGTTCTGCGGAGATTTAAGTAAGGTAAAAGTTTTCATTAGGCTTCAAGACAATGTCATCAAAATATACCTCATCAGTTAGCCTCATTTACTTTCTAAGATTTATTTATAAGATGTACATTATTTCCTTCCCATGGTGTGGGTAATATGAAAAGATAAATAGCCCAGTGTTTTTCATTTAAAAAAGGTTTATTCATTAAGAGATCATAAATACAACTGTATAATTAAGAAGATAGGTGTGATCCTTACCCAAGATAAATAAACATGATTAATATTAGCACAAGCATGAGATAAATAAACATGATTAATATTAGCACAAGCATGAGATAAATAAACATGATTAATATTAGCACAAGCATGAGATAAATAAACATGATTAATATTAGCACAAGCATGAGATAAATAAACATGATTAATATTAGCACAAGCATGTGCATAAATAAACATGATTAATATTAGCACAAGCATGAGATAAATAAACATGATTAATATTAGCACAAGCATGAGATAAATAAACATGATTAATATTAGCACAAGCATGAGATAAATAAACATGATTAATATTAGCACAAGCATGAGATAAATAAACATGATTAATATTAGCACAAGCATGAGATAAATAAACATGATTAATATTAGCACAAGCATGTGCATAAATATTAAAAAAATAATAATAAATTTACTAAAATTAATGTTTCAATTACTGAAAATACAAACTGTTTTATTCCGTAAAATTTAATGTTTTGTTGAGGAAAGTTTACTCGAAGCAAATTATTACATAAATACTTACAGCTTTACTTCATGAACTGCATCTAAATGTAGTGACATCTTTTTTTATAAATAATGGCCTTGTACATCCTCTCATATAACAGTTATACGATAAAAACAACTTTTATAGCAGGCAAGTTCTGGTTTTGATAATTACAACGTTTCAATCCATAATATCAAATGTTACTATTGCTTGATTGATGACTCGATACTATGGGTCAAAATATTGTAATTATTAAAACCAGAAATTGCCTGCTGTAAAATTTGCTGCTATTGTAATTTTAAATTAATTATTCAGTTCAGTTGGTTCCTCACTAAACATTAAACTTATCTCTTATTTTGGAAAATATGTAACGTGGCCAATTACGTGTATTATTTCAGACCAGATCTCCATAATTACAAAATTAACAAACAATATAACAATCTTAAAGCTTTCCTTGCAAGAATATATTTTACTTTTAATAATATAACAACATTATATGTACAATTTTACCCTTTTTCATTGTGATATGAAAATCCCCTGTTAGGGTTTAATTAAAAATTATGCCTAAATATTTTATTTCCTTGATTTGTTCTATCGCTTTACCATTAGTTTGCCAACTACATTTAGTTTCAGTATATTTTTCCCCTTTTTTTTAAATTTAAAGTAAGTTTGAACTCTTCCAAGTTACCAATTTATTTAAACCACGGATAAGTCAAGTTGCAGAAGAATGGAGCACGGGTGAATTAGGTTCTTTAGATGGTAGGGAGCTTTTGTCTACCCAGACATCTTTCCTGAATTATGTTAAATCAGTTTTAGCCTGAGCATCTTGATATTATTCTTTGGACTATAGAAACTCTAGACTTTTTAACCTGGTCTACAATTCTTTTATTGAAAATTGGAAAATATATCTGGTGATTAATTAAAGAAAAGAAAAAGAAAATAATTAACTAGAAACAAGTCATGTTGAATGAGTACCATAATCTAATTGAAACATATGCTAAAGTTTCACTTATTCTAGGTATATATATTCCAGGTGTTATATCTTGATATAATCAACTTCTCACCTGGTCTCACTCGCATATATAACTTATTATCCAACTTATCTAAGCCTACAACTTAGAATTATCTGAGAACAAGAAAATTCTTAGCTTGTTAACTACATTGTCTCTTTTGAATTCTGTTTCACTAAGACTTCCCCCTCTTCTCACTAACTAACTCTTTTCTTGTACTTTGATAATAATCACTGGTGTCCTAATGTATCAGGAAAAAATCTTGACTTAATCAGTGTTTATATCAATCAAAGAATAATCAACGAGTACTCGTGGTTCTGAACAACACGTTTTTATAACTTTTACCATGAAATAATTTACAAAAGAACATTAATGATTAGGACTGTAACAAAGGGTAGATTTTTACCTTCTTACCTGAAACTTTACCCCCCTGTGCTTCACCATAATTGTCTGCTCCAATGCCCAGAAGAAGCTGCTACATATATAATGCTTTGGTGATGTGTATGTGTGTGTTTTTAATACAACTGTTATTATTTAAGTAATGGTCATTATACAAATGAAAATATCAAGTTTTTCATGCGGGTGAAATTTAATGTATGATTACTATTCAAACATTGTAGAATGGTTTTTGTTAACAAAAGAAAAAAAAATCAGACACTGCCTGATGAACCTTTGAATATTTAGAACTTTCTTTAAATTACTGGCCAGTGAATGAACCGTCAAACAGAGCCCTAGTAATTATGCACTACTGTACAGCAATGTAAATATAATTTAGCATACAACTATTTTTTTAACGTTAGTGTATTGCTCATCAGCTGTAACAGAGGAGTCTAAGAAAAACTAACAAGGAAATACTTATTAACTGTGTATCTTAATTATAGTCACGTTAGCTGAGAAAAAAAGACTATTCCTTGACCAACATGCAGTTATATTGTCCAGTGTTTGATGGAAACAGACTTGTACAAATTACTGAGAACTCAGAAACTTAGTAATGACCACATCTGTTATTTTCTTTATCAAATCCTTCGAGGTTTAAAGTACATCCATTCAGCAAACGTTTTACACAGAGACCTCAAGCCTAGCAACTTACTTCTGAATACCTCCTGTGATTTAAAGGTACGTCACCATCTCAAATGACAAAATTAAGACTAATATTTATATAATTGATGGAACATGTAGGAGTATACTTTTTCTTAAGAGATTAACCAAGAAACAAATGTTTTTTTTAGAAGTTTTGTAAATAAAATGGTATTGGTTAATGTTTTTCCTTATTCTGCATTATATTGCTTGCTTGTTTGTTAGATTAGATGTGTTTTTCTCACTTACCATCTATACATGTATGTTTTAACATATTTCTTTCAGTGGGCTCAATAAAGATAAAATACTTGTTTTTTTGTACTTCAAGTGGAAACATTTGACTAACATGTATGGACTTCTTATGGCTAATACATGTTAAAGTAATATTCTATAAAAGGATTAATGATTCCTGACTCCCATATTTTGAATTTTTATCATGGACATAGACATGGCAAGTACATTTGTGGTCCCTAAATTACCCCCACCCCAGTACGGTTCTGCCACTCATTTTCTTTTGCCTCCAAAAGTGGCTACTTAGACCGATTGGTGATGTGTAATGTATCACTTTGGATGCACACTTTTATAAGCAATGTATCTGTGTGTACACACTTCACATTATATATATACGAATTATTGAATATGATGTTCAATTCCCTTGTAGGCCTAATTGTGAAATTTTGTGTTTGTATTTGAAACATGCACTTATACATAGAAGGGAGAGTGAATATGTACAATATCACAAATAGAACTTGACAATTTTGTTACTGTGTTTCAATATTATTTCTTTTCACTGAATACAAGTTTTGGTTATAAAACAAAAAAAGTTTAGTGAAATTATGAATGCTTCTTTGTTTTAAATCAGATACAAATTTGGTGATAGCTAAAAAATCTCTCTCAGCAAATAGTTTAGTTATTTTTTTTCCTTCCCAGATTTGTGATTTTGGTCTTGCTCGAGTTGCTGATCCTGATCACGACCATACAGGTTTTCTAACAGAGTATGTGGCCACCAGGTGGTATCGTGCCCCAGAGATTATGCTGAACAGTAAAGGCTATACCAAATCTAGTATCCTTTTAAACTTATTTACTTTAAGGTGAAGCATAAGAACCCGTGTTTATTTTGTTTACAGGAAAATATAAACATTGTGTACAACTCTGACTGTCATTATGAATTCACCTTATTTCATATCTCGTACAGTTTCTGTATCAAGCAGTCTGTTGTACATTTGTGAATAAAGATTTCTTACAGAAAATAGGCTATGTATATTAACTTTTTAAACTATGGGTCTTTAAAATATAACATGTTTTTATGGAAAGAAAGTCTCAATCCTTAGCTTTAGTAAAGTTGATATTTGGTCAGTTGGTTGTATTTTGGCAGAGATGTTGTCCAATCGACCCATCTTCCCAGGAAAACATTGTAAGTATTATCAGAATTAGTGAACTTTTTGTTAAGACAAGTAGAAGTTTTGTTTCCTGCAAGTGTTCCATCAACTCCGTTAATTTTTTTTGTGTTTTTATCAGAGTTTTCTTCCACTTTAGTCCATCTTTCAGTTTCATTAGTACGGTATGTCTGAAAATAAAGTTGTAACCTGCACTCGAGTTCAAGCTGTTTGTTTTTTTTAAATTTTGCAGCATTTTGGCTAATGTACTTTGTAAATATGGGGTAAACTCAAATAACCTAATGCCAAGTCAAACAGTAAACTGTATGAAATTGTGGACATTGAGTAAAACAAAGGAAAATTAACACAAGTTGTTCAGATGTAAAGTTTTTTATTATTATTATTATTATATATGTAAGTATACAGAGTCTTGTATTATCAAATGATTGATTTTTCTCCACTTATTAATACAGTTTTTTCAAATTTGAAAAATTAATTGTGAAAAGACAGTCTGTGAATTTCTTGGTGTTATCCACATAGATTAGAGTATTTAATTGTTATATATCATTTTATTTATATCATAAAAAAACAGTAATAATAAGTATGATTGAGTGTAGTATTCCAGTACTGCCAAATACCATCTTTATGATCATAATGTGCATGCTTGAAACATAATTCTTAATTTAAACACTCGGTGTGCTAAAAGGATAACGTATGCTTGCAACAATTCTAATGAAGTATCTAATCTTTCCTTCACTTCAGTTGGATATTTTTCTGTTTATTTTGATTTCTACACATTCAACATCAAGACATCCACTTATTTTTATTGTCCACTTCTCTCTCTGCTTATTGTCAAAATGAAATGAAGAAACTACTGTTCACAACAGCGTGGAAGGATATGATGCTATATACCATTCACAACAACAGGGAAGGATATGATGTTATATACCATTCACAACAGCAGGGAAGGATATGATGTTATATACCATTCACAACAACAGGAAAGGATATGATGTTACATACCATTCACAACAGCAGGGAAGGATATGATGTTACATACCATTCACAACAACAGGGAAGGATATGATGTTACATACCATTCACAACAACAGGGAAGGATATGATGTTACATACCATTCACAACAGCATGG